AAAGCTTACTTGTATTCACTAGGCTTGGTTCGAAACAAGCAAGTAAATGCCTGGCGTGCTTGTTGGATTTTAACTCATACTAGTACTTGATCTACTTCAAACATATCCAAACACACAACATAAACACACTAACACATAACAATACCCTTTGGTCATTCCCACGACAGCCGGTTCTACGTACCGGAATGACTCGAGTTTCACCCGACCAAGGGCTGTTGTTTCGGCGATCCAACCCCGTTTAGGTCGGCGAAGTATCTCAGAAATTGTTCGTCCATAGGGCTACATTCAGTACGTTTTCTTCTGCTCAGGACTGGCATCGAGTCAAACCCAGGGCCAGAAACCTACACCTGCTGAGTATGCCAGAGACGACTACACCACAACTCCACCTTAGTCAAGTGCAATGCTTGCGAGGGGTGGAGTCACCTCAGAGTCTGCTCAGGATTACAGACACATCGGCAGTGGACCACGTCGTTTGTGGCCCCCTGCTGCTCAAACAGAGCAGCCTCCACGGCTAACCGCAGTCCACCTGAGCAGCCCTACACAAACACCACAGCACACCAACATAACAACACAATAGACCACACCACAACCATGACAGACCACAGAACACACACAACCGCACCACCCCCCACACGCCGCCGCCAACAACTCTTGGTTCCTCATACAATCTGCACGATATGACAGACCGAATATTCCGTAATGGGACATTAGTCAAGTACAACACCTGTCTTGGCTGGTGCCACTTTAGGGCATGTTCAGGTCTGCGCACCACGCGAGATTGGACGATGAACTTCGAGGGCCCGTGCTGCGCTGCACGGTCGCAAACCTCAACTGCGACGCCACCCACCACCACCACAGGGCGGCAACCACCTCAGCACACTGCCAATGGCGTCACGGCCACACACATCTCTCACACCCTGAATTACAACACGTCTCCCGAACCACATGAAGCTCCTTCAATTTAACTGTAACGGGCTTGATAGCAAGATCGAGGAGATAACCGTCTTCATGGGAAGGCATGGTATATTGATAGCTGCGGTCCAAGAGACGAAGTTGCACAGCAATTCAACATTGTTGAATTGTGCCGGGTACAAAGTGCGCCGTCGAGTTCGCGAGCGAGATAATGGTGGTGGCTTAGCGTTCATCACGCACCACACCGTGCAGTATCGTCTTATCGAAGCAGACATCGACCGCAGGGATACCACCCTAGAATGTCAGTGTATTGCTATCCGGTCAGGCGATGTTGAGCTCGAAATATTTAACGTATACATACCCCCTGTCACCTGCTACCCGGCAGGATATCACCTTGAAATAGGTGCGCTACTCAGAGGTGAAAACCGTATGGTAGTTGGTGACTTTAACGCGCACCACGATCTTTGGCACTCAAGCCTGTCAAATGATCGTAGGGGAATACATCTGGCTGAGCAGATAGACGATTCGACATTCTGCGCAATGAACGACGACACACCCACTAGGATTATGGGCAGCTGCTGCAGCTCGCCAGACATAACAACAGTCAGCGCGGGTCTGATAACCAGCTTATCATGGTGACCTATGCTGACTTTGGATCCGACCATCTGCCGATAGTCATCTCGATCGCTAAACCAAGCGACTTTGCTTCCGCGGAACACCGGACCCATATCAACGTTTCTAAAGCCGATTGGAAAGGCTTCGCGGAATTTACTGAAAACACCTTCGCTGCTCTGCCCACACCAACCGACGTCCACTTTGGTGACAGCTCGCTTCGTACCGGCAGGATGTCCACGTCCAAATTTCCCCGCCGAAGCGGCTGTTCTAGCCGATAAGCGTGACAGCCTTCGTCAGGCCGATCCCGGAGATCCCCGTATCAGGGATCTCAATGCGGAGATTCGGCAACTAGTGAACGTACATGAGCGGAAGAAGTGGGAAGAGCATCTGAAGACCTGTAACTTCACCTCTGGTGTGAGTAAGCTTTGGTCAACCGTGAGGTCACTGTCCAATCCGACGAAGCACGACGACAGAACCGAAATTTCTTTCGGCGACCATGCTTCGTCGGACCCGGAGCGATGCGCGAGCTATTTTAGCCGGCAGTTCATACTGCATCCTCCGGCGGACAAAGCCAAGCGTCGGGCGACCAGAAGGCCGCACAAACTGCCAACAACTTGTGCCTCCCTTGCTTTCACTTGCGGCGAAGTTCAGGTGGCCATCGGGAAGGCGAAAACCTCCAAAGCCATGGGTCCCGACGGAATATGCATGCTGATGCTGAAAAATTTGGGTCCTGCGGGAGTAGCGTTCCTAACGGAAGTCCTCAATTTGTCAATAGCCACTCTCATCATCCCAGACATCTGGAAGGTGGGGAGAGTGGTACCACTGCTCAAACCGGAGAAACCCGCCAACAAAGGAGATTCGTATCGACCGATAACACTCCTTTCCCCGGTAGCGAAGACACTTGAGGCCTTGCTGCTCCCGTATATCACGAACCACCTGAACACAGCGAAGCATCAGCATGGTCTCCGTAAAGTGCACAGTACAACAACAGCACTTAACGCCATAAACACTCAGATAACTCGTGGCCTTAACCGTAACCGTCCCTTGTGAGAGAACGATTCTAGTAGCGTTGGACTTGTCAAAGGCGTTTGACACTGTCAGCCATTTCACGCTACTAAAAGACATAGAGGCTTCCTCTCTCCCACAGAGCCTCAAACGGTGGTCGGCAAATTATCTGAGTGGTCGACACTCGTCGGTAATGTTTAGAGAGAGAGTAAACTCAGGAAACTAAAACAGGGGATTCCACAGGGTGGTGTCCTTTCCCCGCTACTGCTCAACTTTTATATTTCAAAGCTCCTTCAACCACCAGAGGGAGTCTCGATTNTAAAAGACATAGAGGCTTCCTCTCTCCCACAGAGCCTCAAACGGTGGTCGGCAAATTATCTGAGTGGTCGACACTCGTCGGTAATGTTTAGAGAGAGAGTAAACTCAGGAAACTAAAACAGGGGATTCCACAGGGTGGTGTCCTTTCCCCGCTACTGCTCAACTTTTATATTTCAAAGCTCCTTCAACCACCAGAGGGAGTCTCGATTGTCTCTTACGCCGACGATTGCTCGATCATGGCGACTGGGAATGGAATTGATGACTTGTGTTCGAAAGTAAACGGGTATCTCTCCGAGCTGTCACGCTTCTTCACTGCAAAGTGTCTAGCCCGCTCCCCTACGAAATCCTCTGGGACCTGGTTCACCACCTGAACGAAGGAGGTCAGGCTACCGCTGGGAATTCCCGTCAATGATACACCAATTCCGACGGTGAATAACCCCAAAATACTCGGAGTAACATTCGACAGCCTGCTCTCCTTCTCTGCGCACGCAACCGCTATTGTCAATAAAGTACAGAGCCGCAACAAGGTCCTCAAGTCGCTAGCCGGCAGTACTTGGGGCAAAGACAAAGAAACGTTGCTGGCAACATACAAGGCAATAGGCCGGCCGGTTTTAAACTACGCAGCACCAGTGTGGTCGCCGGGGACTAGTAGGACGCAGTGGATGAAGCTACAGACAACACAAAACACCGCACTCAGGACAGCGACTGGATGCCTCCTGATGTCGCCAGAACACCACCTTCATGACGAGGCGAAAATGCGCCCAGTCAAGGAGCATAACATAATACTCTGCAAGCAGTTTCTGATTGGGAGCCACAGATTTGGCCACCCAAACAGACAGCTGCTTGCAGAGGAGCCCTCGCCTAGGCACGTCAGGAGGCATCTATACGAACTGACGGACGAAATCCAGAGGTTCATTAAGCAGCCTCTGGACCCGTCAGCATACCGACAGGCCCTGAACGGCATTCACAGGGAGTCAGCCTAGAGTTATGTAGACTCCAGACCTGTGAATACCGTTCTAGGCACACAACCACCGGACATTGACGCGCCGGAGCTTCATCTGACTCGGGAGACAAGAACCACAATAGCCCAACTTCGCTCTGGCTACTGGAGCAGGTTAAACTCATACCTGAGCAGACTAAACGCGGATGTGCCAAATGTGTGTCCGGCATGCGGAGAGACCCTTCACGACTCGAAACATCTCTTCGCATGCCCGCAAAACCCGCCAACCCTAACGGCTTTGTCCCTGTGGACCGACCCAGTGGAGACTGCACGCCTCTTAGGGCTGCCGTTAGTGGAACTTGACGACAACGACTGAGATATCAACCGATCTAGGCAGGGTTGTTGTAGCCGCTACAACAACAACTGAGAGACTAGTCGATCTGGGCGAGGTTGGCTCTTGGAGTATTCGAGAGAGATTTTGCGGAAGATTTACGGGCCTTTACGCAGTGGCGACTACCGCAGACGATGGACAGATGAGCTGTATGAGCTTACAACGACAAAGGCTCAGTGCAGCGAATTAAAATACAGTGGCTGCCCTGGCTTGGCTATGTCGTAAGAATGGACTCCGACGCTCCAGTTCTGAAAGTATTCAACTCGGAACCCGTTGGTAGTAGCAGAGGAAGAGGGAGACCCCCACTGTGATGGAAAGACCAAATGCAGAGGGACTTGGCTTCACTTGGCATTTCCAATTGGCGTCAGTTGGCGCAGAAGAGAAACGACTGGCGTGCTTTGTGAACTCTGCCAAATCGCTTAGGCAGTTACAGCGCCAAATAAGAAAAAGACTGGCCATTTAACTGCAGTTTAAATATATGATCTAAAAATGAATAGCTTAGATAGCTCGTCTGAAATTGGGCCTTAGTCTACCAATAGACTGTTATACTATTTTTAACTTGTTTGATGTTTAAAAATCAGAGGAAAAATTATCAAGCTTTTGCTATATGCATTAGCGAAAGTAAGAATTTTTTTTAATAAAAAAGGAGATTTCTGGAGCTAAATATAAGAAACCTATTTTCATGTTGTACCCGACCCTACCAAAAACCTAAATGCCCTAAGTTTTTCCTGACTTTTTTTGTAGCACCATGTAATAAATAAATCTGTAAATGCAAAATACTAAACATGTAAAAACAACTTATAATAACATAAACAAATACTTTCATCAACTTTTGAGCAAAGCATAAACATCACTTTTTGGATCGGGTGCCAGAGAGCTCCAAGGTGTCCCCCGACATAAATGCAACGCCTCATGTGCTGAGAGTTTCATTTGTAGCGCATTCTCTTCCACTGCACACGTTTCACGCAAGAAGAAGAATTTAACCACCAGATCGTCCACCCAAGTTTTGAGGTCCTTCCCACTTCGTTGGGCCTTTTTGAATTCATTATTAAGTCGCTGATCGTCCAAGGGTGTTGGCAAATACTGACGCCATTCGGCTGGTATTTCAAAAGTTCCGGCTAATGATGGCTCAGAACCACCATTCACTATCCTTGCTCTCTCTGGCTTGATAGGCTTACCAGCTGCTACAGCTAATGGAACTACAAGAAATTTAGTTTGGGCATATATAGCGGTGCGACCGATTAACTTGGTTGTCCATATGCCTGGCATTATTGGATGTTTCAGAACAGCTTTCGAGTAATTTATTGCGTCCGCCTGTGAGTCTTCTATGTGCAGTTCGTTGAAATCCTGCAATCGGCCAACGGGGTCAATCCATAGCAGCGTTAGATTATACGAATGTGCAGCATCATCTTGCGCTGCCGACGCAGTACCGGCCAGTGTAAAGCTTAGCACAGGCTCGGAGAAAGGGCCAAGCATTTTAGCGAAATTACGAGACACTTGTTCCTTCAGATCAAAATCAGACGCAACTTCGAAATTACGGAGTTTTTTCTCCAATTTTGAATTTTTCGCGTACTTCACGTACACCGCTGGTCTAATTCGAGTTTCAAGAGCAAGCGTGCGATTATGCAAACTATCCGAAAGTTGGTAACTTATCAGGAAACCCTTATATTCATCTTTATGTAAGTAGTGCGTTAACTCCAAGGGTTGACCAGGCTCTACTTGTGCCTTATGCGCTACTATACGAACCAAGCTATCACCTATGGTTCGCACAATATCGTCCGCCGATGTCGGTGGATCTACTGAATCGTAGAATGACTGCCAATAACTATGCAAATTAACTACCTCCTTGCCGTGAGGTCCGAAAAGCCACTCTTCTAATTGAAATAGCACAGCTTGATTTATTATTGGCTCGAATTTTCGTGCAAAAAAGAGCATTTTGTTTTCAGTACCCTGGAGCCGAGGCCAATCTTCCGGTTTAAAATCGTTTGGACTACAGCCGCACCAATCGACCACATGTTTATACTGGCATTTGCAGCCAAGTTTACGTTTCCAATTAGTAACATGAAGGTTGTTATCTATGTACGTGTTACAAAAACGCGAATTACGCAGGACAGTGTGAAAAAAAGATTCCGCTGGCAGCAATGTATGATGGAAAATCGTCAAAAGACCTTGCAGCAGAGGGTCACGCAGAGACTCTGATATTACATACTGTACGAACGGTAGTGACAGTGCTACCCAATCACTTCCACCATCGATTTGTATACCATTGGGTAACTGTCTGTCGCCTATGCGCCACATATGATTGTCGCATTCGACGAATGTCTTATCTAATCCTTGTTTCTGTACAAATCGTTGAGTTTCGCGTCCATGACTTTTCACGAAATTGTGACCTTTGTTCGCAGTTAGAAAAGTTACAAGTTTATCTATAGTTTTGACGGGGAAATCACTTTCGCTGAGGTTTATGACAAAATCCCATCGCCATTTAGAATCCAATAGATCCTCCATGCATTGAATTAACATATTCAGCAAAGACGCACCGCCCCAGATGGTAGCAAAGCGTGTCCTACCAAGGCGAATATTTGGAAACCTGGACTCCAGTTCCAGCAACTTACGATATAGGAAAGCCTGGCGCTGAAAAAAGAAAAGAAAAATGAGAACATTTTCTTACTTACTTACATACATATAGTTACCTTAATATAGAAAGGCCCTATCTAACATTTTTGTTTCTTTGCAGAGTAGTTATAAAGCTACATTAAACCAAAGTTTCCCAGAAGCTAATTTCCTCAAAAAATTTGTTTTCATAAAAGTGAAATACATACATTTATTGTTGTAAATTCTATTAGGTCCTTACTGAGCAATCTACCGATTTTTGTACAAAGCTAAATATCAAAAGAAAATGAGTTAGAGCCTTTCTATATTAAGGTAACCCCTATGACCAAAATAATAGAAACGCGCTATTTTGACAAGTGTTTACTATTTCTCTTTTGTTAATTAATGTTTTTTATTTTTCTACTAGAGTATAGTTCATTATCTAGCGAAAACCGTATATAAATTAAATCTTCAAACTATGTGGAAATAAAAATTCAATAAAAATTGGTATGCAGTTTTATAGCAGATTAAGCGACTGTTACTCAATGTTTGGTTAACACTAACTATAGGCTAAACATCGTTATCGTCGTGATCGCCTCCATAACATATCAGCGTCGCCGTTTTATAATTTTCGAGCGGAGTGAAGTGAGCCAAAAGGTGGAGTGTTTTTGGGTTTTCCGTAGTGTCAAAGTAAAAATGTAGACTAAAGTATGCAAAACTCATTTATTTCCATGAAAATGTAAACCGAAAACCCAAGTTCAAATGACTTTAAAAACAGCTGGGTAGCGTCTGCCCTGCGGGGGACTGCGCGCCTTATTCGCGTAGAGATACACGCTATGCTTGAGAAGGCAGCGAAAGCTTCATTCAACTGCACGACTTGTTCGGACGCACACAGTGACATTAATTGCACGCACACTACAAAAATGCTCTGCCGAGGCTGCGCACCTCTGCTCTTAAGTCATACGAATGTCACGTCCAACATCAAGGAAACACTAGGGTTGCCAGAGTTTTTATGCGCGAAATCAGTACGTTAGACTTTTTCATGCTAAAAAATCAGTACTTTTCAGTAAATTTTTGTTCATAGCAAAATTATGAATAAAAGTAACAGATAATACTATAAACGCGAGAGTACTTGTTTTTAACAATATTTTGGTAAATAAATAAAATATGGTTCATAAAAAAGTGTTATTAATTTTAACAAGAGAGTACACTCTACACTAGGGTGATCCAAAAATGCATGTGAAAACATAAAGTCGGAATTTTTATGCTCTCACCCGCTAGGGTTGTTCTATACCGAAAAAGTATACCCAAGATTTTTTATTTAGGAATCAAAAAATATTTAGAGGCCGCTCAAAACGCTCAAAGTTTTTAATGTATTTTTATATGGGGAAAAAACAACTTTTCGTAGATATGGTATAGAATTCTAAAAAACCAATATTTTTCGATCAAAAACTCTTTCTCTGCAGGAGATTCCCAATAATAATACCCAATTGCCTATTTAACCAAATTTTTATCGCAACTATAATTTATAGGACCGCCAAAACCCCACAAAAACCCTGCAAAAATGCAATGAGAGGACCAATAAAAAATCGTTGGTATTAAAAAATGATTAAATAAACAATTGGGCATTGTTATTGAAAGTCTCCTGAAGAGAACCAGAGCTTTCGGATCGAAATACATTGATTTTCGAGAATTCTATACCATTTCTACGAAAATACGTTTTTTCCCCATACAAAAATACATGGAAAACTTTGAGCGCTTTGAGCGACCTCTAAATATTTTTTGATTTTTTCGATATACTACAATCCTAGGGGGTGAAAGCATTACAATTCTGACTTTACTGTTTTTCGACCACCCTAGTGTACACATCATTTTACACAGAAGCCAATAAATTATTTTATGTTTATGACATTTTTGAATAGCAATAATAAGATCACTTCCATCTTCATTGCTTAAATATTAGAAGAATTCTATACATTTCATTTTAAAATTATTTTTAATATGAAGTTCACTTTAAATAATTTTAATTAGAAGCCGGTTTCTTTCTTTGCATTAGCAAGCAAACTTTATACTTAAAATCCTTTCAGTTGCTGTTTGAGTGTAGTATTGAAAAAACCAAAATTACATAGTTTTTAAAACTGTGGAAAAGTACCACTATTTAAGGACTTCATATATAATTCCTCATGGCTTAAATTAATTTTTTCAACTACGCAAAAACTTTTAAAGATTAAGGATTCGCTAAAAATAGTATCTCTTTCATGTAAAACTCTTTAACAATGTCAGTAAATTGTGAAAAAAATAGTCGTAAGTTATAGGCAAAAGCGATTCGAATATTCAAATTTGTTGTCGTTAAACTGAAAGTTATTTTCGAGATAACTAGCAACACTCGCCAAAAAAAGTCAGACTTCTAAATAATTTAAGATCCATCATATTATCGCAACTGGTACGTAACGACCCGGCGATATGCCCATAAAACGATTGAACTTTTTGTTGTATTAATTTCTTGGGTATATGAAACATTATCTGAAACATGTCAACAATAATTAAATTATTTTCTTCTAACTTTTTACAGTAGAGTTTAAAGGTCTGATTATGCATACTTCGCATAACAACCAGTCCAATAAAAATGTAACTTAAGAAAATGTGAAGCAAAATCTAAACTCAACAGATCGCCTAGTTTTTAAAAGTCCTGCTAATTTATGGGCAATGGAATACATACAAAGCACATACGAAATTACAGTTTAAAGTTTATGCGAAGTTATGCGAAGTATGCATAATCAGACCATAAGGAAGTTTCAAAGTTATGTAAAAACCTTAAGAAAATCTTAAAGTATTTTGTTTGAATTGAAAATTCAGTACAAATCAGTACAAATTTTGAAAAATCAGGACATTAGCGTACTGATTGAAGAAATTAATAAAATCAGTACAAGAGTTGAAAAATCAGTACTGTACTGATAAAATCAGTACGTCTGGCAACTGTAGGAAACATATAAACAGAGAACGGATTTTTAGGACCTCAAAACCTATAAAAAAAGTCAAAATAACATAATGAAATAGGCTAGAAAAGGCAAAATGAAATAGCGAAATAAGCAGAAAAAGGCACTAGAAATCGCAAAACAGGCAAAAGAAGGCACTAAAAAAGACAAGACCCGAATAATAATCAAAAAATACATTTATTCTAGAAATGTTTATTTTACAAGTAAACCGAGAAAAACTATGAACTAGTTTCATTATATGAGAAATGTCTACTATAAATCTTTCAGCCGCACTCAGAAACGTTCATTAAATTAGCTCTAACGGGCACTTAACTAGTAGTAGTAGTAGATTGGCGCTTACACATATGTTAGTGTTTGGCCGAGCTTCTCCTGCGACTTGTATATTGTCACACAAAGCGGAGGGACCTACAGTTTTACGCCGACTCCGAACGGCGATTCTATTTTTATGAGAAGCTGTTTTTCATGGCAGAAATACACTCGGAGGTTTGCCATTGCCTGCCGACGGACGACCGCTGTTTAGAAAAAACCTTTTTTCTATATTTTTTGTGACCAGGGTTTGTTGTGGTTGTTGTAGCGGCTACTAAGACCCTTCGGGGCGGTTCATCCATCAACGTTGTCGTCAATTTCAGCTAGGGGGAGGCCCAGGAAGTGTGCTACTTCCAAAGGGGCTGTCCATAGGGACAGGGGCGTTAGCTGAGTGGGGTTCTCAGGGCATGTGAAGAGGTGCCGGGAGTCATGTGGCGACTCTCCACATGCCGGGCATTGGTTGGGCACATCCTCTTTGATTCTGCTCAGGTAGCTGTTGAGCCTGCTGCAATAGCCAGAGCCGTTTACTTTCGAGCACAAGTCATCAATTCCATTCCCAGACGCAATGATCGAACAATCGTCAGCATACCAGACTATATTAACACCCTCTGGTGGCTGAGGAAGCTTTGAGATGTAATAATTAAACAGTAGCGGGGACAGGACACCACCCCTGTTTAATTTTACGTGGCTTGCTAGTTTTGTCTCTGAAAATTACTGACGAGTGTCGACCACTCAGGTAATTCGCCGAACACCGTTTTAGGCCCTGTGGGAGTGAGGAGGCCTCTTCTAGTGGCGTTGAATGACTGACAGTGACGAACGCCTTGGACAAGTCCAACGCTACTAGAATAGTTCTCTCACAGGGGCGGTTTCGGTTTAGTTATCCGAGTGTTTATGGCGTTAAGTGCTGTTGTTGTGCTATGCACTTTACGGAACCCATGTTGATGCTTCGCTGGGGTCAGGTGGTTCGTAAAGTACGGGAGCAGCAGGGCCTCGAGTGTCTTCGCTACCGGGGAAAGGAGAGTTATCGGGCGATAAGACTCTCCTTTGTCGGCTGGATTCCCTGGTTTTATCCACCAGAGGATGCAGAATGAACTGCCGGCTAAAATAGCTCGCGCATCTCTTCGGGTACGACGAAGCGTGGTCACCAAAGTCTATATCGACTCTGTCGTCGGGCTTCGTCGGGTTGGACAACGACCTCACGGTTGACCAAAGCTTGCTCACACCAGAGGCGAAGTTGCAGGTCTTCAGATGCTCTTCCCATTTCTTCCGCTTATGTACGTTCACAAGTTGCCGAATCTCCGAATTGAGATCCCTAATACGGGAATTTCCGGGATCGGCCTGACGAAGGTTGTCGCGCTCATCAGC